CGCTCTCTTTTTTTTTTTTGTTTCCTCCCTGACGGTGGAGCAGGTGAGAAATCCTCATGGATACCCTACAGCCGGCTGCGAGGTTATGTCAGACTCGTACTGACTAAAAAACACCCGTAGGGGCTGCCTCTGGCCGGGAAGGCCTCTAAGGCTTCATCGGAAGCGATCGTCCCCCAGGGGGGGGAGCGACGCAGAAAACAGATTTAGACAGCTCGCTCTCGGACCTCCCGCCTTTTGATACCCTATCGCCGCCGCGACCCGTGTCAAGCGCGGCAACCGTTACACAAAAATAATCCTTATAGCATGATTCAGTATTTACGTGCGACGGCGCGATGGCTTATTCAATGTATAGGTTTGGTGTTTCTATACCGATTTCTGTTTTGTTTTTATTGAATAGGTAATAATGTAAACTTTTTTAAATTAGGGATGAGTCAGAGTATTATAAACGTAAGAGTAAACAAATATGATCAGAATGCTCCGAACTGCTAAGCTATCGGGAGTTATACGTGTTATTGTGAGTCAACCATAAAAGATAGACATATGCTGTTGCGGTATATTTTTTAGACAATTTTATGTAGAATATTTCCGTCATACATGATTTCTATGTAACTTTAATCATTAAGACTGCACACGCGACGGAAGCTTAAAAAATGGTGTAACTTCTCCTGTTTTCCCAACATTTCCCTTCACTACTCTGCTCCTATTGATTGTAGCGTGATGAAAAGTATACTATAACCTGCCCAGGAGTATGAAGAATAATTGTACCAAGTTTCGTTAAAATCCGTCAAGTAGTTTTTGTTTCTATAAGGAACATACACACAGACAGACAGACAGACAGACAAAAAATTTACTGATTGCATTTTTGACATCAGTATCGATCACTAATCATCCCGTGATAGTTATTTTAAAAATATATTTCATGTACAGAATTGACATCTCTACAGATTTATTATAAGTATAGATTATTCCCTTCACTCTTTCAAGTTTATCTATCTATAAAATGGTTGGAACAAAACAAAAATCAACTCAGCTTAAAGGAAATAGAAAGAAAATAATTATAAATACTGAAATATTTACCAAATAATCTGAATGAAATAAGATAGAAACGTCAGTGAAAAAAAACAATTTGAGAGACCCTACGGGAAATGGATATTGCCAGTTTCCTAAAAAAATATGAATGAATCGATATTCATCTTTTTCGATTTATCAATACTGGTATAATAGTTTAATCCCGCTTTATTATTTATTACACTGAGATAGATTTATGATCATAGTAGAAGCATAAATGTTATATTTGCACGTATAGCGTGTAATATCAGATACATTATGTGTGTTAAATCTGTGGACGGTATTGCGGCATGACATGCTTAGTAATAAAATTAATTTATTTTATAGATATCAAAACAAACAACGTACATGTTAGGTACAGGCAGTTGAATGAGGAGTCCGCATGGAGTTCCTTTTATTATCAGCATGCAAGCTATGAATTACTCGTATGGATGATCGTCGGCCATGCACGTAGACATAAATGCATGTAATGTAGCATTTACGTTTAGGGCCGTATATGTATCATGTACGACCCTAAGGCCACTTGTCGACGGCCGTATTTTTAACAGACACCGAGCCGTTGCGATACTTTTTTCTGACTACCCCTCGATAATAAAGACAATAATCCGGTAAAAAACTGTTATTATGGACTTTCGAGTCTATATCCATACTTAATAATCTTAATATACAGATGAGACTACTTTTTTGCGACAATTGTAATGCAATATAATATGTTTTCTTTAGCATATTGAATTGTCATAAACATAATCTAACTCGTTATTTTATATTTTATTATGTTGATAAATTGAAACGATTATTACAAAATGGCAACATTGAGGAGACAAGTGTCAAAAAATACAAATGAAATGGATGTGAGTGAATTACTAATTTATTATAATGATTTTTGTTCGGCGAAGTTAAAGTAAATTATTTAACATGGTTTTGTGAAAATTAAAAACTTGATCTTTGATATAAATTAGGTGAACGTACAGGGCCGACCAAGGACGATACTACCAATGGGCATTCTCCTTTAATATCCTCAATAATTTAAACACAAAACCCATCATATCACAGAAAGTTCACTGTCAGAATCGTCTTTTGGCATAAGTTCCTTTACATACGAATATCTTTCTCATCATCTATTGCCCTTTTTACCTACACACACACACACACACATTCATGTCAATGAAAATGAGAGTGATTCCTGGGACCCATGATTTTAAGGGTCACATTGCAATATTAACTGGAGTAATAGACCAACTTGAATAAAGTACCACTCCAAACTTTACTTAACTATTGTAGTGTTGAGGCCCATTGATAAAAAATAATATTGAATGAAAGAAATTGGTTAAATATCCATTTGAAACTGAAAAACGCGGTAATTTCACTAGATTTTTCCGTATCCCACGCGCTACTCTTGCTATGTTATAGTGAATATTTTTTTTACGCTCAAGGTTATACATGAATATATACTTTTTTAAATACATAAAGAGTTTTTCTATTAGATCATGAATAAACTGTTCTAAAATAATCAGTCTAGTATACCTTTATTCTTTCAAATACATGTCACGCGGCGGGCATAATTTCAATCTCGCGGCGAAACTATGACAATTTATTTAGTGGAATACGCGGTAATCGTCTTGCGATTGGTCCAAAAGATCGCTTGTTAACCGGCAGTGTTCGGACGGGAAGGTAGTGTCCGTAGATTTCGCGCCAAAAATTTTAGGTAAGTTCTTTGACTTCTGCAAATGTTTGTCCAACGGGGTAGGTAGAGAATAGTTTCACTTAACTGGTCTTTGATTAATAATACGTATATCCCTGTGTAGGCACTGGAGTACAAATTCATACGATTTTATTTATAGTTTTACAGTAATACCTTCATATTTGAATTATCGTCAGATTCGTGGTCGTAAGATCCGTGGATTTAAGCCATGGATCTGATTTATCGACCATGGATCTGACCACATAATATTATAGCTTCACTGCCTCCGTGGTATAACGGTTAGAGCGTTGGACTCCCAACCTGAAGGTCGTGGGTTCGAATTCCACGCGGACGAACATAATATCTCCTGCGTAGCTGGTTAATCTCGTTGAGATTAGCCGCTGTGGTAGAAATCGACCAGGAGGCCTAATTTTTACAGCTTCAATCATTTTCTTTCAGTTTTAATTGCCGTGGGTACCTACCCAGTAAAGACTGATGTTTAAACGTAAGAATTTAAACAAATACCAAAGTAGTTTATTTAAATATTTTTTGATATTTTATATGCAATGGATGTAAAAAAGTACAAAAAAAATAAAGCTTCTGATTACTTCTGCTATAATGATGTTTTATTTATAATTTTCTTTATTGCAGCATTCTAACAGGCGATTCTAACGCGATGCCATTACTTGATTCATATACTTCGTCAGATCCGTGATGCCCTTGGTCAGATCCGTGGTGAGCCAAAACATTTTCTTTTTTTTTCAAGAATCTATAAGGTCTACGTGTGTGCCTCATCTACAGAATGACTTGTTTTTCAGCCCTCTTTAGCCATATAATTTTAGTTTTTTCTAATAATGAAATAAAATAAAAGCCACGGATCTGATGCGAAGAACTTTGGTCCCAGGAATCACCCATGAATTGATAAATTAGTTCGTTGGTGTATTTATAAATAAAACTTAACTTTTCTCCTACCACGATGGTTTGAAGAATAAGTTCTAAGTAAATAATATAATACTTTAATTTTTTTTTATCAATAATGATAGTGTTCTCTAATCCGACTCTTGAAATACTTAGGGATACGAACAGATGATTAAAGAAGAGTCCATTTTAGATAGAAATATAATAGTGTCTGATTTCATACTGGTTCTATCAAATATCCATTCATTAGCAACTTGTATCGGTCACAAGACACAAAAGTTTTCATTGCGCCTAATACTATCTCTTGCTGGAGTTTGATAAATGTAACTGGGCGATAATGTTTAGCTAAGTTTGAATACACAATTTATTGTTCCGGTTAACCAACTATCGAAAATTATTCCTGTTGGACAATTTAACTTCACAGTTTGACCAAGAGGAAGATCTTTACACAATTTCAGTGTGAAGTAAATTTCCGGCAGATTTTATACAATTTGTCATTTGCATAGAAAAGGTCTCAAAGAAAGATTGCAAATCAATGTTTTATTCACTTTTTCTCAAAACCAACGATTAAATTATTGTTGTGCATTTTCATGAATCGCTGTAGCTTTGTGTTCTATTATAACAAAATCAATTGGTCCTACGCCTTTTCATCGTGTCTCTTGACCGGGGTAACAGAGAAGACGGCAGTTTGTTTCCCGTCTTTAAATAAAACGAGATCCGGGTCTGTTTACCCTTCCACCCTTTTTAGTGATTGCTAATTTTGTCAAAGAATTACACCATTTCAACCGTAACTCGTTTTTCGGGTGACCTTTCCACTTTCATTGAAATGTTAAATACCTAATATTATTTTTGGGCAAAAATGTATTAACCAAGATAAATCTATTTGAGCCACTTCATATCTCAGCAATTTAGTTAAATTCAGTTGAATTGCTTAGATATCAAGTAGCTAAGCAAGTGCAGGGGCAAGGCAACAATTTATTTGTGTTTTTGGCAAACATACTCGTACCTATATAGTCAAATATCATTTTCATCAGCTTATTGTAACAGTTTTAAATCAACATAATTAGGACGCTAACACATTTTATAATCTTCTATCGCAACGAATATCGTCGACTTCTCCACCTAATCTCCTCACACATATTCTTCACAATTTTACTTAGATTTAAATAAACTGTCATCATCAAGACTCTTAGTTCTTCATCAAAATCCTCGACTATGATAGTCGCTCGCGTTGAATGGATAAACAAAATGTACTCTTACCTAAATAATAAAATTCTGTATCAGATTTAGTCAACTGATTTGTCTTATTATGTCTAACTATAACTATTTACAGGTAGAAAATAAAAATACAATTATTGAAAGACTGGTATGCAATTTCGCTCCCAAGGGTAATAACCATGGTAAACCTGTGTATGCCATAGGCTACCCAGCAACACAATGTCAAACAGATATGGAGCCTGACAATAAAATGAGTGGACTGTGTACTTACCGGACTCAAAATAACGGTAAATTTGAAAATTATGCTTTAATAATTTTTATTGTAAGCATTAAACTGCTCGCTGACCGGGCGAATGCACTTACCGCTATGCTACTAACACATAAATGACCGTGTCGAATTTCTTCTAGTATTTATTCTGCTTCTACCACACCTGCGCGACTTATTTTCAGGTGGCTTGGATACTAGTTGCGCTAAAATTAGCGATAGAATTTTGAATTAGTTCTGTCGTAATGAATTAGCATCTTCGTGTGTATAGACGCTTAGATGATAGCTTGACTAGCGATAATTTGACACGCTAAAAGAGGTAATGGAAAACGACAAATTTGTCACGCAGGTGTTGGATAAGCATTAAGGCTGTAAGGCAGCACCTAAAATGCCAAAAATGTCGCTGCGTTGCATGCGGTCATTGTGGTCTTGGTTGCAAAGCGGTTAGTGCATCCGCCGGGATACCTTGACCGAGTGAAATGTTTTATTTAAAAAAAAATATTTGAAAATTCTGTAACTTTCTTACATTTCAAAAGAAAATTAAAATTAAAAATATTAAATAAAGGGAAAAGGTTATAGTGAGTCAACAAGTTCAGTGGAATCAACTCTGTTTAGAACTTTTAAAGGAAAACAGCCCCTTTTTAATAGCGATGTTACTATTTTTACGAAGTTCGCTTGGTTAGCTAGTAATATTATAAAAAGATATAAGCCTTGTCCTATAACATCATTTTTCTTTGAGAAGGTACAAACATAATAATGATCAATCATGATCGTCTGATTAACGATAAAATAAAAATTCTATTTCAGTGAGAAAATTTAAACCCAATATCCCTCCAGTGAGCAGTTTGCTAAGGATTCTTAATTTGTCGAATGATTCAATAAAACAAGAAATTGATCCTGTCTGTAGTAATTTAAGACAAGTAAAATTAGAGAACAGCCCAACCAATGAACAAAGAAACCAGAAAATTAGACATGTCTTCTTAAATAATACTTACGGTAAAAATGGTACCTTACATAACAATCTATATGTACAAACTTTCAGTTGTTTAATCAAATGTAATATTGATTTCAGTAACAGTGAAAAATATACCTAACATGCAAATGTACAAAAAAATGCGTAATCCAGGAAATAATCAAAATAATCAACGAATTCTGAAATTCCAACAAGATATAGGTCATTCAAGAGTCTATCATGGCCAGGATTTACAGTTTCATAATTATAGAACAGAAGAAAAACAAACTAATATGCAAAAATTTGAAAAAAATGATTTTTCTACTGAATCTTATACTGTCTTACCTAATGATGCAAACTACAGAAAAAAATACCGAAATCAAGAATGCACTAGAAATAATCATAAAATCGTACCAGCGACACCAGCAGTTCGAATAGAGCATACAAACTGCAATACGAAAGCAAATATTTGCACACGTCAATACATACAAGAAAATTGTGAAAAAAGTCCAAAAACAAATCAAGAAATTATAAAAGACGTCGGGCCTTACTTTCAGAATGGGGAGCCTTATAATCTATGTCCCTGTACATCAACAACCACATGTGCTCCATCTTCACCAAAATACCAATGTAACATTCATTGTCAATGCATAAAAACTGATTATGTTCCTACTCAATGCCCAGTAGATGCAAGAAGAAAAAGCCAGCCTATTGATTTGCAAAGTACTCTTCCAGAATTCTATTCTTATGAGTTCAAGCCTAATATGGAAGTACGCAGTGGTGATAAAAACAACAACCTCTTAAATGGTAAAGAAATCATGGAACCTTCTTCAAAAAATCAGGGGCTAGATGCAACAACAACTGGTAATATGTTTAAACTCTATCCCCAGAATAATAATAAAGGTTATGCAAAAGACTTGATAGCGTATGAAAATGATATGAAATCGGATTCTGATTTTATTTATGATTTCTCTGATTCCAGAGAAAGAAAAAAACGTACTCCTGCAAGTGAAATGACGTTTAAGCCTTTTTGGCAAATGGACGAGTTCAACCACCATATACCTGGACAGCTTAAATCAATGAAATACACAACACTACCAAAAAAGAAAACGAAACGAATTACGCATGGAAAAAATACAAAAACTACAGAACTGATTACTGTAAAATTTAAAGAGTCTACCAGTACCATTAATTTAAAAAAATATAAAATAACAGAAAAGTATTTATCATTCGACGAATTAATGCATCTTAGGAAGTTTGGTTCTAGTGAAGCTAGTAAAAGCATTGATGGAAGAAGATCAGACAGTTCAGAATCCGCAACTAAAGAGTTAACAACAGAGTATACAACTAATACCCCCTTTAAAAGAAAAAAGTATTGTACAAGGAAATTAACGTGTACATGGACGGCGGCAACAATAACCGATGCTAATGGAAGCGTAATTGGTGGTGGTGCTTTTGCAGGTGATGGTGAACGTGGCTCTAGAACTCCACCGGGCTACGTTGATGGATGCACGCGTACTTCCACATGTACCCGTGATTATATCGATAGGAATAAGTTTTCTACTATTCCAGGTGATGAGTCTAGTGATTCGGCAGTGTCAAAATTAGAAGATGAAGATTATTGTGAAAAACGAGCATTAAATATCCGTAGACGAGATTCTCATACAGGCACATCCACAACAGCATCTTATTATTTAAATGAACACCATAGAGTAACCTTTTTCAGTAACGAATTGACATCTTCAATTTTTATTTATTTATTTAATTTATTTGTTGACTAACAGAAGTACTGATTTTGAGGGTGGAAGAAAAAAACGCTCTAATGAAATTATATCATACGGTGATTTATATTATTTAGTTCTACAAATAATCATAGATACATGGAAAAAGCGACATAGTTCTAATTCATGTTTGTGCAATGCTGGCACTGTTCTTATCAAAGGATCAGTCTTTTTTGTATCGCTTATGTTTTTTTATACTTTTATATTAAATTATTACCGTTGAGAAAGTATTTTATTAATACCTAAAAATACATTTAAAATGATTCAAATTGCATTTTAAGTATTATTGTAAGAACAATGAAAAATTTCATTCAACTTCAATATTTTTAAATCTGCCGCTAATTTCTTTGACAAATCACCATATTTGATAACGATTTTCTGGTGGTCCGTATTTAGAGAATGTGGCGGTTGTCCCGATTTCACTGAATATTCCCAGCGATATTTATTTTTGGGTACATCTCCAACTCCACGTTTTCTTCTCTCTAACTGACCTAAAAATAGAACAAACATATTTTATTTTACCTTATTTTACTAATTCTCTACTAAGAAGTATTCAAATTTACTGCTTAATAAATACATGAATAATTTCATTATGATGAAAAATATTTCAACTACCGAAACATACTTTCCGTCACATCTGATTCTATAATATCATCCAGAAAATTCTTCGTTCTCTCAGTTCTTTTCAAATTTTCTATTTCCAACACAATATCTGATGCAGGAATATTAGGAGTATTATCATACAAATCTACCGTCTCTGTATTCGACTCTTCAGTAATATCTTCAGGAAAAAAATAATGACCAGTAAAATCATGGTTCAATTTAATTTCAGCGAGTTCTGCTTGAATTTTAACTGGACTCACATCCATAGCAGGCTGTTTTAATTCTTCTAGTTGTTGCGTAGGTGTATTTCTTTCTGTGGTATAAAATCAGTGTTCATCATGAGTGATGATTAATTAATGGGAATTCTTTTTTAAATAATCAGCTAATTGCGCTCCACACAAAAGGTTTTGTAACATCGTACAATATTGCATTATTTTATTGGCAAATTTCGACTATCTATCTATTAAAGACCGCTGGAAGATAGATGCACAGCGCCAGCGGGGGTTAAGTGATAGGCTTCCGTTGTTATCATTTGAATATCGAACTCAAAAATAAGACTATTAATTATACCGAAAACAAACAATACACACCACCACTTCTGAATATGACCGCTTCCACCAAATCTACTAGTATAGTTGAATTCACATATTCCTGTTCAGGTAGCTTCGTTGTCGTAGTTGGCATTTTCTTGCTGTATATTTTGCTCACAAATACTGCGACATTTGGATCAGTGAAAGTGAAATCATTATTTCCATTTTGCATGTTTTTTGTTGAGAGAAGTAATTCTTTGAGTAATGAATCACTACTCAGCTTTTTCCTTAATAATTCAATAAATTCGTCTACAGCTAAATCTTTACATGAACTGGAACTTCGAGTAGAAGGCGTGGTTAATAACTGTCTTGTAAAATCAAAATATTGAGAAATGTAATCAAAAGTAATATTATCATCATCATTTATATTTTCAGTGTCAGTGGTATTCTCAGAGTGTGTATTTGTTGTTGGTTTGTTACCCATTAATACACTCTCTTCAGGTTTCGTTTTATGATGGGTAAGACCTAAAAATTAAAACAAGTGTATTATACCTATGAGCAAATATAATAAGAGCTTTTTTTTTTATTTATTCTACTTTATTCACCTGGGTGCAAGGTGGTGTTTATCGCATTGTATATGGAAAATAAATCAAAGGTCATTTCCAATATTAATAAAACTTTTATCAAAATCTAAATCTAAAATGTATGCGCACCTTTCGTGTTCGTAAAGTTTTTTTTTATATTGCACGTACAACATTGCTAAAATATAATAAATAAAACAAGTTGCTAAGTTCACCTAGATGCTATTCATATTTCACTTTATGCTATATAAATCTATGTTGGCTTTCATCACAGAAGGTGAATTTCACGAAAGTGATTTTACTTAAAATACAAGCCCGAGTAAAAGATATTAATAGCAAGGTTACGTTTATTGCCCGTGGTTGGTTAAATTTCTCAAAGTAATACAGTTAACTGGTCTTCGGTAAAATAAATACCTCTCTGATATAGTTAACAGATTTTTTTTGAAATTATTATTATTATTATTATTATTATTATTTATTCTTGAATATCTAGTGGATCCCGACTGTTAATGTAGCTTTGTTCCTGACTTAACAGAATTATAGATTACTGTTTTTTGATTTTTAAATTAATATTTTTTTATGGCAACCTTTCTATCTTTTAAATTTTTTTATCTTAAATATTTAATGCGTAGGTACGCAAAATTTCATCTTCATCGGTTTAGGATACTGAAAATTAATTTGCAAGATTTGAACCGAACATATAAACATTTCAAGTTAGTTGAATAAAAGCTTTAAAAAGAATTTTCTGGTGTTTTCACTGAATCATTAGTACGTTGATTCATAATACACAATTTTAACTTCATGACCTATTTAATTTAACAACATAAACAAGATAACCCAGCTGCATTAAGCGCTTTTTAGTGAATGGTGGGTATAGGGCAAGTATAGCGCGACTTCTAGCGGATCGAGCTCTGTAACTTCAACGGTCCGGCCGTACATCTCGACGGTCTATAAATATTGGCTTTATAAAAAAAAGTTATAAAATTGAAACGGATGGACTGATTTAGATGATTTAAAAGGTTTATTGATGAGAAAGCTTATTAGAATACTATTGTGGTGGTTTTAAGCTGATTTGTTGACTTCGAAATGATTCTCATTGGAAAGCGCATCGCATAATAAGCCTTTATAAGAATCTTGTTTAACATTTTCGTAGCGTATTTTTCACCTAGTAGGATTTTGGTTTTGATCTTATTTTTATTGGTCACTTTTGTTGTTGAAAATTATCCATGCAACAGCTACACTGTTCTTTATACTTGTAGAAAATAACACTTTGCTACGAACCGCATAAAGCTTTATATTCTGTATCACACGTGCTTCCTATTGGACATCTGGAACAAGGTGGTCCTGTGCTATAGACGGCTTCTCCCGCAATATTGCCCCTGGCTGCGAAATTGCACACTAATCTATTGACAGTCCTATTTTTGTTGCTGCGATCGCCTTCTAAAAGTTCCTATAAAGTTTTTTTATTTGATTTATTGGAGGTATAATGTAATTAAACTTCTTATAGGTCACAGATTTTTAGAACTCTTTTGAAATAATTTAACGGATATCTGACTCGATTTTAATGCCATCCCTGGTACCCGTGTCCTGCATTATTTTTATTGTTCCTACAAGAGGTCTTTACCTTCATCGTCCAATTTTTTTCTTAACTTAGGTACAAAGAAGAAGTTCAATTGTGGAAACGTAAAAACTAATACCAAATGTAATATTAATATTTAAGTATAGCCTTGAATCTTCAACTATCAACGTCAATTTTTGTAATACAATTATGTGTAGGTTGGGTGATAATACACGAGCGTAAATATTAATAAATTGTTTAACAATGAACTTACTTTGAATTTCACACCGCCGCAACCAACCTCGCTAGAGCGTGCCCAAACTAATTGCGTGAAATAATGGTAACGAGAGAACGCACTGTCAGATAATCTGAAACTAAAACTATTAAGAGAACAAGTTCAAGATACGGCAGTCTCATATTGCTTTTTAATAAGATTAGTGCGCATGTAATCCTATAACGCATTACATTATAACTGGGATTATCATCCGTTTTCTCATCATATTTTCCTCGACCTACACACGCTGCGTGCAACATATTCTGGCCAAGTGCCTAAAGAAAGACGGCAAGGACGGACACATAAAATTTATTACTGAAAAAAAAAAGGAAACATGTTCGGATACAGTGGTAAAGCGAGAAAATCGTGTGCTCTAGGTCCAATAAAAAAAAATACATGAAGTGTCGAACGAACGTAGCTGTAAGTCGATCGCGCTCTACTTTGATCAAGCGCTAATGTCGGCGCTGGCAACCATAATTTTTTCGAATGACGAGAAGAACTATGCGTCCATTTTGCATTAAGTTCTTTGTGTAACTCAGATACTGGACGAGAGCTAACACTTGACGATTCAGTGGTAGAGTGATATGAGATATGCTAATTTTCAAGATATCGTTTGTTCTCATATCCTGGGTTTGAAGCCCGGTAGGAGCAAATGTTACAAACGTTTGACTAATACGAGTATTTGTACTTAAATCATGGCTATTTGTAATTTCTATCCGTCAAACTAGGCAAAGTAAGTACCTCTGATAGCGTCACCCAACGACACTGTTTTATTAAAAAAAGAGCCATCTAATATTAAAAGATTTGGAAAATATTTAGGTAGATACTTATTTTAAAAGTTCACTCTATGACTTTTCTAGAACGCCACAAGAAGTATATAAGTAGTAATAGCTTAAAAAAACTTACGGTTTGTAACGAGAAATTAAAGAAGCGTTTGCATTTAACAACTCCGTGTACCACACGTCCACCATCGATAAAGGAGACAATCCCGGTGATTCCCCGTACACAGTTGCTATATTCTGACCAACAGATAGGTATCCTTCAAAACAAAAAGTAGATTTTATGAAAGTTAAGCGGAGGTGTTTCCGATCGAATTGGAATGTAATCTCCAACATACCGAAGGTCAGAGTAAATAAGACTACCTATGCATTTTGAATAGCCTATATTTAATGCTATGAGAACAAAATAAGTAGATTTGTTATTATCTAAGTTCATAAGCATATGTCGTCCTAAATTCAATTGAGACCGATATCTCTTTCATATTTCTTAAAATAATGAAACACGTATTGTGTACTGTTTGTAATTGAGAAGTTCCATTGTTTTTTCTTAAAGAATTCATCAGATCTTCAGCAAATTAATATGGGAGCATCTCGCCAAAAACTTTGAATTCGGTTAAAAACGGATGAAGTCAGCGGTAGAGTTATAAACATACTGCTGTACCAATTCTGACTACCCTACTGTTTCTTTCATATTCTGCAACTACAGATTAAAAATTAGGCAGATCCTGTATTGATAAACTGACAAGGCCATTGTAAGCTAATAATAATTTACCTAAATCTCGACAAGTGTCCTCCTGATCCCAATTGTACGTTTGTTTTACACATTGATCGGCCCACCTTTGAGCAAATTTTTCTAGCTCTTCATTCCACTCCTAAAGAAAATTTTCAATTAATGCCATTTCTTTCTCAGAATTTCTGTTAAGGGATTTCCGACCTCTCGGTTTACCTTACCAATTTCAACATATTGTCAGCTGAGGCATAAGAATGAACATCACCGGATGCTATTCTATTCCTTCTTTCGTTAATCTTGTTAAGCAAGGCTGTCCTGTCTTGATGTGTTCTAATAGTCTTCTCATAATCAATACAATGGCTAGCTGGTTCTGGTGACTGCGACATGAAAAGGTATATAATTTTAAAGTCATGTATACGAAATGTAAGATTTTAAAAAAAGCAAACGTGCGTGTCGTAGAACAATCGGTTGGAACAAAGGTGAAAAAAAACATAGTAGTCCAGTCACTTTAGCGTTTCACCTCAGGATTTGAGATAATGAGAAACTCGTGTACAGCTTCATTTTGGCGTTCTAAAAGTTGTCTCAAAAGCTGATGAATTTTTGTGCCCAAATTGGCACGATATGTTATACTTACACATGTTGTTACAAATATTTTTTCTTCTTTCTTTCTTTAAATCTAATAAAAAAAATACTAGAAACCCGCACCTTTCGCTATCAGTGCATTCGGCACTGACCACACCAGGAAGTCCTTCATTTTGATCGCAGAGTGCGCGGGCGCGTTGTCGTGGTATAGAAGGACCCCGCGGAGCCCGGTGTTAGGTTGCTTGTTGCTCATTGCAGAAAAAACTTCTGGCAGGCATTTTGTGCTATACCATTCGGCGTTGATTCTGCTTTGGTCTCGAAGTGGAATTGAAATTAGGTACCCCGTCAGAGTGAAGAAACTAGCGATCAAAATGTTCCCTGCGCTCCTCGATCACTTCACTTTCGTAGGCGTTGGTTCGTTTTGAAACAGTCAAACTGTCGACTGACGCTTTGTTTCTGGATCGTATCATTGATAAATCCAGGATTCGCCACCTGTCACAATATCGTAAACGCGCCGTGACGATCCTACGTAATACATAATTTTTGTATCATATCACTGCACCAATCCACACGGGCCTGCTTCTGAGCTTCAGTGAGGTTGTGCGGCACCCAGCGAGAAACTATCCTCCTTACGCAAAGGTGCTCCTGCAAAATCATGTGAACACTTCCTGTACCAATCTGCAGAGTATGCTGAATCTCTTCGTACGTAATTCGTCTGTTTTCTTGAACTATTTTTTTTACTGTCAGCACACTTTCTTCGGTGTCAGCCGTCGTAGGACGACCACTCCTTTGTTCATCCCCCAAAGTAAGACGACCGCATTTGAACTCGCTACACCAGTGGTAGATGGTTGCTTTTAAAGGTCCTTCATGCATAAAAGCAGTTCGAAATCGATCAAATGACTCATCAGGTTTTAAGCCACATTTAAAATCATAAAAAATCCAAATCGGCCAATGTCTTATACATATAAACTTTTTTCCGAAAAACTTTCTGAGTGGCCTGGTATAATAAAAATATTTTAGATCAGTAACTCAATATCATGATCAAACTTTTCAAGGCAGAGCATACTGCATACCTTAAGTTATTTATTGAATTCGATTTTTCTTTGTAGCATACGACTTTTACAGTATCACCATCTCATATCCTTGCCAATACTATTAACTTTTCACATTGCTTATGTGTCAAGTCTAGAGGTGTGTTAAATCTACCGTAGTCTACTAAATCGTGAGGTAAGAGTAGTAGAAATTTTGGCCAGTTTACAATATCTAAGGCGGCTGCCATGTATTTGCTGTGTATTATATAAGCTAAAAGAGCTTGAGCAATAACCGTAGAGAAAGCAAAAATCTACCTAACGCGAAAAAATGACATAGACATACACTATCTCTAAACGGTTGTTTATAATGTCACATTATGCACTAGGCCATGATGCCCCAGTGGATAACACACCGACTTAGTGCTCCTGGGGTATGGGTTCGATCCCCGTTTTGGTAAAGGAAAACATCGTGCGAAAACCTTCATGTCCGGGAAGTGGGACAATTTATAGGTTGATTATGCTGTCACACCAAGTAAATCTCCTTTTGTTGACATTTTAGAACAATTACTTTATTTTAATTGATATGTATTTTCTTCTCTATTATATAACTTACATTTACAAAAATCATTTTTTATTTTAATTTGGTAGTCTACCGGTAGACTACGGTAGGAAGTGGTCGGCTACGTAGCATTTCCACGCTAGTCAAGTCTGGGTGTTTATAAAATCTTATTCGTTTAAAACTCGGAAGTCGAACTTTACCGACAGATCATAAAAATATTAAAAGGATGCATTCCAAATAACTAATATCTTCATAATATTAGGTTTTAAGAGTTTGTCATGAGGAGCACGTGCTAATTGATCACTGACTTACCTGATATTTGCAGAGCGTATGTTGTTTAGTATTATTGCACACATTGGAACCACAATAATTTAAAGCAAAAGTGAGTTTAATTAAAAAAAAACAGTTAAAACCTGTGTAAATATGAATTAACATGTCGAATTTATATATTTCAACTAAGTATTATGATAACAACCATGATCGCAATCGGGATGGTCTCGTCTTATCATGTAATAGAAATAAGTATCATAACTATTGCTTCACAATACCATTAATTAAATACGAGACGTGATGCTAATGACATACGTAAATAATATCTACAGAAATCAATAGATACTTATAAATGCGAAATGTGTCTGCCTGTCTGTTACCTCTTCACACTTAAACCGCTGAACCGATGTATGAGGTATTTGGTATAAAGATATTTAGTTGGAGATACCAATTAAACACGTAGTAAAACTAAAAGTCGCGGGTACCCACTAGCAAAAGAAAATCCCACCAAAAACATTCTGTAAAAAACTAGCCAAGTCTCGATGGAGCTGCTTGTTTATCTCTAAAAAGTAATTAAATCTAGACAAAGTCGTGCCACGTCTAAGGTTCCTTACTGCGATTTCTTTATTATTATAGTTAATGTTGTGTGACTTGGCCATTGAAAGGTACACAAGGGTACAAAACCAGGTGCTACATGACACCATTGCACCAATCTGTCGCCAGAATCGCTACCCATTGACGATGGAAAATTGCCACGTGGAAAACCTTGATTGAATAACCAGTCAATTGTAGGCTTGATAAAGTTACGTTTACACGTAATGTTGCATGTATGAATGCATCGGTGCAATGGTGTCATGTAGCACCTGGTTTTGTACCCTTGTGTACCCTTCAACGGCCAAGTCACACAACATTAAGTATAATAATAAAGAAATCGCAGTAAGTAACCTTAGACTTGGCACGATTTTGTCTAGATTTAATTACTTTTTAGACATAAACAAGCAGCTCCATCGAGACTTGGCTAGTTTTTTACAGAATGTTTTTGGAGGGATTTCACTTCTTTTTGTAGAAACGTGGGCATATTGATTTATTTTATTAGATTTTCTTATTTGACACATTTTTTTTCTTTTTAGGAGTAGTCTTTTTGTTATTACAAATCTTTCTTTTCTTTTTTTACGGTTCTGTTTCTTGAACATTAGCAACAGTTTCTCGTATTGCCCATTCGCTTTCTTTATTTATTCTTTTAGACGGTTTAATTTCTGAAAGATCGGCGCGGTATTTACGCCTAAGCCGGTTGTATTCGGTGATAGCTGAAGCTTGAGCTTTTATACTCTTGAAGTCAACATTTATGAGGTGCACCCCATGAAGATTGGTTACTCGTGAAAGCGCCACGTATGCTTGGCCACAAGAGAATATGGAGGTGCCCATATCCATGAGGGTATATTTAGACTTAGACCTTGGTATCACCGCCACTCTTAGTCGAATGCATTATATTTTGACCAAATTTTGAGCGTAATTAATATTTTAGTGTACTGTTCGAGTAGAAAAAAAGTTAATCTTCGACTATTTTTTCTTGTAAACTCGTAAGTATAAGTAAAATAGCCAGTCTAGTGTTATCCAGAGTTTTCCTTTAATTTTATTTATATGCGCATTAAAAGTAGATGGGGAGGTATTCGCCCAGCAGTTGGACGCTGTAGGCTGGATTAAATTAAAAGATGTGTCCCACTACACTGGATTTTTGTAATGACAGTCGATTTTTTTGTATACCAATAGTAGAAGGGGGCATCACCATATCTCTAATACAGATGAGACCAGCTGAGAGTTCTTCATCAGATACTTCAGACCTTCGATTTTCGACATCAAATGAAGCGGCCCACCAAGTTGAATATTTTTTGTAAAGGCGGTATGTCGATCTCTTCTAATAGTTAGGTTGGGCTGTGTTTTCTAATCAGGGTCACCAGGTACTCCAGATCTTCGATTATCCTAGTTTTTATAGTTTTCCCTTTATGTGGCCATTAAACCCTAACTCTGTACCAAATTTCAGCTCTCTGAGTTTATGGGAAGTACTAGTTCTATTCTGATGATCATGAGTGTGTGAGTGTCGTAAATGCGAAACTTTGCTTTCACTGAACTTCGGAACTAATTGACATACAGACTTGAAATTTTGGATTTTAAGTATGTTATTATAGCTTACTGGATGACGAAATTCAGCGTTCTGGTCTTATCCAGAGGATCTCAAATAGGGGCCTGAAAATGCGGGCGAAATGGTTCCAGTAAAGGATGGTACGGCAGTGTTGGCTTTGTGCTCGACTTGGCGGGGGCACTGCCGTGCCCCCCGACTTAAATTGTCATCCTTTAGACCCCAAAATGTCATGGTTCTTTTGTGAGTCATGCTATTTGCTTTAATAATAAAATACTAAAAGAAATACTTTAAATACGTTGTCTCCTTACGAAAGCTAACCATAGAAATTATATATATAATGCTGTTTTTCCATTAGCTAGACAGCAAGCTTAAATTATTCCTTTGCCAAAAAAATCTAACCCCCAATCCGACTCTGATTTCCGTCCCATCTCTATTCTTTCTTTCTATCAAAAGTACTTGAGCGGCTTTATACATAATCAATTCAATATTTTCTATTCTCATCGCGGTCTTTTCAATCCTCCCCAATCCGGTTTCCATTTGAGACATAGTATTATTACGTCTTGGGATGAATCACAGTTTTAATATTGTTAGGATATTAATATTGTATGATTTTAACTCTGCATTTAACACTGTCAACAAGCACCCATGCCTTGGTGATGCAGAGCTGGCCACAGTGATTTCAGTGAAATATTGGAGTGGAGTAAATTTTCGGGGCTGTAGGTAAATCCGTCTAAATCAAATAGTATAATCGCCAAAGTTTACTGGCAATCATTGCCCAAAATTCATTTTGTTGGCACCATCATTCCATTCAGCGTCTCAGGAAAGAACTTACCTATGCTTAAGCTTTGACAATTGTGTACACAGTCGTTAAGTCTTTGCTTTCGTAGCTACGCTGAAGAGACTAAGTAATTCGTACCTATCACCACCAAAATTGCCTTAGCACAGACACTCTTGCTTCTTAGCCTCGATTATGCTGACGTCTGCTATCTAGATCTCATGGAGGATCAGCTTGATAAACTTGAGCGACTTCAGAACTATATTTGATTTATATTTGGTTTGCGCAAATATGATCATGTCTATCAATTACGTTTACAGCTCAAGTAGCTACCTAGTCTTAGTCTTAGTAGAACGGCGGGCTGTTTCCGCAACTCGACATCTAGTGCCTATTCTGCGTGGGGATTGGCATCAGTCCTGCCATCCCAGCTCCTCCAGAAAGTTCAGCAGTCCACGAACGTTACTGCAGATAGTCTTCGGGCTTCCCATTAGAGAAGTCCTTTGTCTTGCAACGCCCCTGCACTCCAGCAGCACATGGGCGCTCGTCTCCTCGTCCTCCAGGCAGGCTCTGCACAGAGGGCTGTCAGAAATACCTATATTACAAAGGTGTTTGTTGAAATACCCACGATTTGTTTTAAGGCTTGTCTAGGAAGTCTGATTAACTTACGTGTTAGCTGCAGGTTTACCTTGGGAACGGCTTCACTAGCATGCCTGCAGTCCGTGAGTTCTGTCCAGTATTCGTTATGTTGTCGTTAACAGCGCTCCCTTATCCATGTTCGCAGCTGTCGATAGGGTATGGATACAATAGGCTCCGGACCAATGGCCGTCCTGCTAGAACCTTCCCTGGCTAAGCAGTCCGCCGCATCGTTACCCCTTGAGCCGCTGTGTTCTTTAATCCACTGCAAAGTCAATCTATTGTCGTTAGCAATATTAGTCAACTTACAGTGGCATTCATAAATTAAGCCTGATGTCATTATATTGTTGACCAGTGCGCAGTAGGACAGAAGCGCTGTCAGAGAGAATACGAATGTGTTTCCCTCTTACCTTGCGACAATCTATCGCTTCAGCGGCCTTGATGATGCCCACACACTCTGCCTGGAAGACCGTGTTATAGGCTCCCAATGCTGTTGAGATGTGTATATTTAGGTCTTCGGAGAAGACACCCGAACCTGTACCGTAGTTGGTTTTTGAGCCGTCTGTGTAGACCCTCAACTCCTTTTGCAGACAACGGTCCGGAGTGTCTTCATAAAGTTGAATTATGTATTTTTTGTCGAATACTTACGTCTTGGGAATAAGGTCGTTTACTGCAGCAAAGTACGGAAAGTACCTGTATATGTCTGTTAAAATGCTGGTGTGTGGGGAGTTGTTGTCCCTCCATAGCCCCAGCATGCTTAGTCGTGTGGCTGTACAAGCAGCTTCCTGTTGTATAAACAAATGGAGTGATCTCACGTTAAGTATTGTCTCCAGTCAGCACTGGAGTGGAACCACTCCCACATCAGCATGTGGGAGTGGTTTTCATGCAGCCGGTGATTGCACAGCATGCCCGCCTCTAGAGACGTCTTAACTTATTAATTGTCGTTACCTGGTTTGTCTTGGTCCACCATACTACTGCTGCATAGCTAATGATGGGCCTAATTATGGTCGTGTACAGCCACCTTACAATGAGCGGTGATAGTCCCCAAGTTTTGCTAATCATTTTGCGGCATTGCCAGAAAATGATGTTGGTCTTAGTAGTAGTTTTGTCTATGTGTGGACCCCAGTTCAGTTTGGAATTTAGGGTTATTCCTAGATACTTTACCTCATTGGAGAGCCTTAGTGTCATGTTAAATAGTTTCGGTAGCCGATAGTCGCCTAAGGCTCTTTTATTCGTGAACATGACTAATTCTGTCTTCACTGGATTCACCTTAAGGTCGTAGTCGTCACACCATTTTTCAACCACCTTCATTGCCCCCCGTGTAACGTCACAGGCGGTGCTCGCAAACTTACCCGGAATTAAGATTGCCAGGTCGTCCGCGTAGCCCACCGTGTGGAAGTGAAGGTTGTTTAGTTTGTTAATTAAGTCGTTTACGACTACATTCCATAGCAGAGGCGATAGTACTCCTCCTTGAGGACATCCTTTAGTCGCCAATGCTCTGAGATGGTTGTCGTCTTGTAGTCTGATTAGTCTGTTACGGAGCATGTTACTTACCCAGTATATAATGGTCTCATCGACTCCGTGTTTGCCAAGTGCGTCTACAATACTGGCGAAGCT